ATATATACACAGACATGCCAACCCTACAAGGCCAACAAGAGGGGTTTGAAAAACTTCTGAGTGGAGTTTTTGCAATGTGAGAGGAGTATTCCTAAGACATGGTACCAATGTGATCGGATTGTAAAATGTAATCGTTTTGACTCACAACAGCAATACCGCCGTGCAAGACTAAGCCCTAGGCCTAGGCAGAAAATCAACACCACACCAATCACAACGAGTGTACCGTAGGCATCACCTACAGTAGTTTTGATTTCAAACTGACAGGGTACTTTCCGTTATTAACTTGCATGTTTGCATGTGTTTTAGCTTCTTTTTTGGAGGAAGCTCAACACAACTACTCGTTTTTTCAGTACTGCCTAGGCCTACATCCAAATCGCTCTCATCAGACTTCATTTTTGAAATCGTGCTTTACTAGACTGCTGTTACTGTTACGAAATCAGTAGACCATGGAACACTATACAGTCCAGAGTGCAGTGCAACACAACTCTGACATCAATTTGGCCAATGAAATTTGTTTTTTTCGAAATCAGTAGACCGTGGAGCGGGAATTAATTTTTCGTATACAGTTCAAAGTGCAACTGTGACAGCGATTTGGTCAATTTTTCTAAATCAGTAGACAGTAGAGCGTGAATTACTATTTCGTATACAGTTCTGAGCGCTGTTTCAAGACGAAATTAAGTGGTCTTGTTCTTACCTAAATCATAGGAAATGCGCAATTTATTTCAGCTGGCCAAAATGCGTAAAAAAGCGGAGATTTTCGACCCAAAATCGGAGTGCGGAGTTTTGCTTAAATAAACGTAGTAACTCCGCCAAAATTGGAGTGGTTGGCATGTCTGTATATATATGGTTTTAAAAGGTGGGAGGGGGATGTTTATGCGTGGGAGGTGTTTATCCGAGGGAGGCATATATTTTTTTTTTTTTGTGTAAAATGAATAGGCATATACTCAAATAAACGCCCCTTAATTTCACTGTAAATGTGGAACTAAACACATAATTACCGTAAAAATACCGTAAAAATTTAGTTTAGTCAACACCATCAGGCCAAACTATTCTATTTGTCTTAAATTATAAAATAAAAATGCTGCCCTCTCTTGGCAGACTTTTTTTTTACCTCATCATCAGAATCACTAGCTGAACTTCTGAACCCTCCAAGAGAATTATAATTATTTGACATCACCGAGTTGCTTACACCATGCTGCACAGGGACATCTGGGGTTGACAGGGGGTAACTGTTGTTACCTATTGAAAAACATTAACAATTAATATTTATTTCTTTATTTCTTATTGTTCTCTCATTGCCATCTAGTGATCATCATCATCATCATCAGTATAAATATTAGGCCCAAAAGCTTGTATTGCCTAGGTCCAATTGACCCAAAATATTTCCAAAGGAGCCAAACAATACTTAAAATGTAATAAATGTTCAAGCTTAAATTAATTCTTTTAAAAACTTAACCCCAGATAATAGTCCACTGGTTACCATTGCCGTGCCAATCTAAATGCATGGGGTTAGTAAAGCCCTGTTCAGACTATCAAATTTGATTTGACAAAAACATGTGACTTGCCTAAATATGGTCATGATGACATCACATCATGACCATATATAGGCACATCATGACTATATATGGGCATACTAAAACTTTTTTGTTGAACAAAATTTGATAGTGTGGACAGTGCTTAGGTTAAAAAAAAAACTGATCAACCATGATTTCGAATTTTGCTTGATAATTTAAACTTTTGGAAAGTATTAGAGGTTTTTTTGGAAAGTATTAGAGGTTTGCTGCTTTGTCTTACTTTTGTAAGCTACATAAATTCCTGTATAATTCAGCAAATTCTTTCATACCTTGGCCGGCCTCCCTGCGTGTGAGTGTGTTGTCGAGCTGTGATAATCCAGTGGGCGACATTGCTGCTCTGGCCTTTTTCGTCAAATCGCCATCCAGCACATAAGCCAGATCATCAGCCTCATTTTCAGCTGATAGTGATAAAAAAAATTCAATAATCAATTATATAGGTATTAATTTATAATAATAATAATAATAATAATAATAATAATAATAATAATAATAATAATAATAATAATAATAATAATAAAATACTAGAGTTAAAATGTTTATTTAAAGCCAGGCTCGGGGGGAATTTTTTTTTGTTGGTATGTATTGTATTTGTATTGTTGTATTAACAAAAAAAACTGTGACAGTTAATGAGAAACAAATTTGTGAATATTTAAAAACTGGGGGAAAAGAGTTTTTAAATATTCAAAAATCAATTGTACAACAAACATATCAAACATTTTTTTTTCCATCTGAAGCCTGGATTATAATAGGCACAACATAATCCACTGCATCCTGGGAAGAAGAATCAATAAAAGCTTGCTGGTCTGCCAGCTTTAACACAGGAGATGTCATACCTTCGCTTAAACTCTTCTCCATTTGAGGTCGTTCATCTGAAACAATACCAGAGGTTGTGGCAGAGCTACCGTGACTGACTACTGACCGGCGTTGCAACTCCTTCTTGTTTGAGACGTCGGTAAATGAAATCGTCATGGAGCTATCTAAATCAGACCACGAAACATCCGTACTGATGTACGATTCACGGTAGCGCTTTTTTTCTACGAATAGAAACACAAATGCTATCAATGAATGGTTTCACTAGGCATATATCATATCACATATCATTGTTTTGATAGGTTACTATAGAAAAAAAAAATCAATAAACATAAAAAATCGTTTTAATGCTAAATGCAACATTATGGAATATTTTATCTAGTTATTATTACTAAAGTTTTATCTAGTCACTAAGGTAATAATTTCATAGGCACAGAATATTAAGCATGATGGGCTATAAAACAGAAACGTTATTATATACTGTACTGTTAAAAAGTAGAACTGTTTTGATCATTAATAAACCAAGCGACTACTGCTGCCTAGTAGCTCTACTATGAAAATCAATTAAAACAATAATTATAGCACACACTATATCTTAACAACACAATATTTTAAAGCCTACTCTGAATTTTAGACAGTGTTGTTACATCCATTATTATTTGATAAAGGCAGTAGTGTATTAGATAAAGTCAATATCAAATAGAGGGCAGTATTCATGTTTTACATTCTGCATATTTCCACACTCACCTTGTATGTTTTCCCTTTTTCTGGCACGGTCAACAATTGGTTGCGTCTTCATTTGAAAAGCATGAGTTAATTTGCATAGTCTCAAGAGATGTTTTGATCTGAAAATCAGTGAACAGTGAAAGGAATGCAAATACAATATTTACTTTGATCAAATTTATGGATAAGAATATAACTGTGTGTTAAAACCTGGAAAAAAACTCCCTAAAATATTCAAATAAAACATTAAATTGTCATTTAAAATAACCAATTATGTTAATATCTACTTACTACAAACATTCTTAAAATTATTACAAACCAATTTTAGGATCTGCACAAAAAATTAGGACTGGTAATATTTATAAGTTTTTTAATTGGTGATCAAAAACTTTTCTCATCCTTATTTTCAGTTGAAGGCTAACAATTTACTTAATTAGATAAAGTAAGAAACTAAAATGTAGGATTTTATTATTGAAGTTTTAGCTGAGCAGTTGGCCAAAAGGTATTATTCCTCCTACTTGCACTATAAACCCTGGTTCTTTAATATTATTACTAGTATTTATTACCAATTTTACTATTAAAAAATTTATAATTTATTCACTTAAAATTTTTCTTGGTATTTATGCATTTATATGTGTCCTACTGAGTGTGTTTTTTGGTATGTTGGTTGTAAGACCTTTTTTTTCCTTATTCAATATATCACTGTTGTTGTCATTTGTCGTTTTATTATATTGTGTTTTTTTTCTTATTTCGGACACCTTGATTTAAAAGCTCTTTTGAATTTTTTTTTTTGGTTGTCCTTTTCATCACCGTATTTTATATTAATGTCCTTTTTGTCTTTTTTATTGTTGACAGTACATTAATTGATGAATAAATAAAATGAAATGAAAAAAAAATAAATAAATGAAATAAATGTTCAAGCCTGATCGCTCAGCTCCTTGAATAAGACTCACATGATAGCTGAGTCAAGGGAAAATTTATCTGTTTAGGTAGTGGCGCTTCTGTGGCTGTGTAAGGGTTTTTAGGATGACCCAGCCAACATAAATGTACCATGAGCACTCCCACGGACGAATACTGGTGCAAATGTACATTATTGTTAATATTATTAGCTCAATTACAATAGATATCTTCGTCATCATTTTCAATTTTCTGTCCTTTGTAACTGGACCATTTTGGAAAGCAGTACTACGTTAATGAAAATGCAATAGAGTACAGTAAAAAGAAAGAATGATAAATAATAACCCCTGATCTAAAGCATGCTTTTTCATATATAAAAGAATTTTTTTCATTTATATTAAAAGAATCCCATTGTTTTTAATTATTCTATTGGTTCTCTTACACTTGAACATGTCTCTCATCATAAAGATCTTGGTGTTATTATCAATTCCCATCTTAGACTCAACCGCCACGCTAATGCTGCTGTCTCCAAAGCAGATCGAATGCTCGGAATGATCAAACGTAACCGCTGGCACATTCACAATAATAAATGTCTTATTAATTTATATTGTTTGCTTATTAGACCCCCATCTAGATTTCTCCAAAGTTGTGATTAATTCTATTTCTTTGTCCAATTCTGTTAGGTTTGATTTTATCTGGTTTCTTTGCCGCTCCTGTCAATGTTCCCCCTCCGGTGTACACTTCCAGTCTCTTGGTGTACGTAGGTCTGTTTTTGATATTCTTTGCCTTTTCAGGTGTATGAATTCTTGTTTTGAATATTCCTTAGCTAATTTTTTCTCTCTTAATTCTAAGTCTTGTCGCTGCCACAGTTCCTTTTGTTGCCTTTTCTTCGTGTTTTTTTGCAGAGTTAAATCCACTATAAATGGTTTTATTTCTAGAATCCCTAAGCTTTATATACAGACACCTCTATTGATCAATTTCTCTGTTTTTAACAATAACATGTGTAAGGTTTCTTGGCCCTTGGCTTCTACATTTTTATTGTTTTATTGTTTCGTTTTTTAAATGATTTTTTTTTTACTTTTTTTTTGTGTCTGTAAATGTCTTACTGGTGTCTGTTTTTTGAGCTTCTCTTTTTTATATATGCATATTTATACATACATTTTATAGTTAATTCATTCTGTAAGTAGTGGGTTACCCACTGTTGGGTGTGATTTGAAATAAAATAAAAATAGTAAGGTCTTTTTTAGCTTTATGTCTTAATTCCATTCTAGTTTAGATTATTACTAGTATTATTATTAATAGCTACATATAGTATCAATTGCTAATTAGATCGTTTTTACTCACTTGGCTTCATTTCCGGTGTAGTAATTAATTTTCCTTCCATCAGATACTCCTTCAACTTGAAGTTCAAATTTCTTTTTCTGAAAAAAAAAAAAAATGTATTTGCCACAATTTGTTTATTTAATACAAGATATCCAACATCTATAATGAAGTACTGAATACTGTAATAAATTATTGTCCAAAATAAAAGAAGGAAATGCATTTGAAAACTGGCAAACATTTAAAATCACAGCACTGAATATTAAAATAGTTGAACTTGCCTAAGTTGAATACAAAATGACATTGAGAAATTGTTCGACTTAATAAAAATAAAATTTGACTTATGGTTAATTAGTGGAAAACACAACCTGGCTATTAGGCATCTTCCTGGAAGGTTATTTAGCGTATATCTCCCGATTATATTGGCAAATATAATATTATATGCTTTACTTATATATTTTAATATAAATTTTGGCAATGTGTGTATCAAAACAAAAAAAATCCATTTTTATAACCATTTGAATCTGACTTACAGATGGTTAATTAGTGGAAAACACAATATCTAGTTATTAGGCATCTTCCTGTAAGGTTACTTTGCGTATATCTCCTGATTATATTGGCAAATATAATATTTTGTGCTTTACTTATATTTTAATATAAATTGTACTTGGCAATGTTTGTCTCAAAACAAAAATACATTTGAATGATTCTTGAATCTTGAAAATATGTTTTTTAAATCCAACAGAAAGCAAACTGGGCATGTTTTTGGTTGAACTTTATATATTCATTGAACATTGTGGATCAAATCCTTCTAGGCACTTTCAATTTAGCTCTATTGTGAAAAACTATTCCCCACTAGACACATCCAAGTACTTCAGTGTGACAAATTTTGGGGTAAGGATTTATATAATTTTCACTTACTAAGTGGATATATATTTATCTGTGTTTAACAAATGTAAAAAAAATTCTATTTCTAAAATAAGCAATAGTTGACTCTTGATTCCAAAGAGTTCATCCATAGTATGTTTTCTATTTTTTTTCCCCCCACTGTGTGACCTCCTACCATGTAACCGGTAAGACCACCAAATGGAGTTGCCAGTTACAGACGTCAGCATTTTACGCCGTACCAAGTACATACAGTACTGATGTTGGCATTAGCAGGTTTAAAACCGGATGTTTTTTTTTATTCTTCAAAATATCTGATTTATTTATGACTATGACACATGTTCAAATAATAATAAAGAGGAGGAATGAAATTACCAGGAAATCTAAGCTCCTAAGTTGGGATAAAATCATGGATAAAATCAGATAATTTCAAGGTTTAGAATACTGTATAGCATAAATAATGTACAATACAACAATATCATATTATTATAATAATTGTATATTTATATATCTCATGATGCTATGGTAATTCTAATAGATCTGATAAGCTGAAAAGGACAAATCAGTTAATCAAATCAAGAAAACGAAAGTGGTGTATAGAACAGAAGATAAAAATAAAAGTAAACGGCAAATGAAAATAATATTGGACAGGTCCAGTCTTTGTATCTCAACAGTTTTAATAATAGCAAAATAATAGCATGTTTCTTATATAAATATGTAAATTAAACTGTATTGAGGTAAACTGAAAGAGATCTCTCATGTGTGATAAAATGATTTACCGTACATGAACGACTACCTCATGGCAGCTAGCAATATCTGTTGGAGGTACATGAATTGAGCAATGATCGATCAAACCCGACATTAGGAAATGAATGTGGACGAAAACTTACTTGGAAAACAAGACGTTTAATGATATTCCAGGCATATTCGCATAGCAAGTATTTTCCCTCACCAGAATCCTATAGAAGCAAGAAAAACAGTGATTATTTGTGGCGGATTAAAGTGGGGCATTAGTATTTATTTAGCGCCTTTTCTTTAGGTTACGAAGAGCTTTGTTTTTCCCAGTCTTTAGGTCCACATGTTTAAGTGTTGCTATCATATTTGTACAGTAGCAGGCAACCCTACCTGGTACCCATTTATACTCCTAGGTGAAGAGAAGCAACGCAGATAAAGTGCCTTACTCAAGGACACAAGCAAAGTGCACAACGTGGGATTGAAACCCAGAGGTTGGGAAACCAAACTGTTCCCGTTGCACTAAACTGCTTCCACATAATAAATACCACATATTTTTTATTTATTAGAAATTTTAACAGTATTTACAAAGGACACATCATTCAATTTTTGCTTAATAGATTTGCAATAAAACAGATTTTAAGTACTTTTATCATCTAAAATCTTTGTAACAGTGTTTAAGCAAAAGCTAAATTTTGCTAAATATTTTCATTCAATATTAGCCAAAAAGCTATAATTGCTTATAGGGCTATTCTTTTGTTTTGGCTAGATCAAATTTCTATTTGGCTAATTATTTTCATACCGAATTAGTCAAATTGCTAAATAGTGTTTCGACCAGCTTAAACCACAAGTTAAATATCTAATAATTTCACTTTATTTATTCTGGACTTAAACAACAAAATAATGCATGTATATAAATATGAACAGTAAGTATATAGAATAAAGACTAAAAAAACACAACCAGCAATGCAAACAATTCATGGAAATCCCAACACACAAATGGCAACTAAAATACATCAAATTTACATTGGATTAAAACAGAATTGTACAAATTGAATTCGAGTAGTTCGTAGAAAGATGGGACTAAACAAACATTTAAAAATAATGCAGAAAAATTAAAATCAATAAAGTTAGAAATGAAAAGAATTGTCCTGAGTAAAATTTTTACTATTCTAGTATATAAAGTATAATAAATACCAAAATATAATAATCAATAATTTTAATTGAAATGGTTGTAATAATAAATATAATTAATTTTGTTTATTGAGTTCCAAATGTTCACACAACCCTAAGGAAAGTGTAAGTACAAACTAAATTTAATTTCATAAACAAAACGTGTAACCCATGATGCCTAACGTTTATGGAATCTTGCAATACTACGTTGTAGACAAACGTGAGGAATTTATCAAGATGACACAGCCCTCGGACCACTGACTGAGCCAATTTATCCTCAAAGTATGCAGCGACTGGTATTTTAACTCATCTCAGAAATCCGACTCCAAACGGCAACTTAGCAATTTTCAACATTCATTACTTGCACACTTCATTCAGTTCATCAATATCCGCATACCATTTAGATAAATCATTTACACACGCATTTATCTATTTGATTTCATTTTCAGCCGACAGTAAGTGAATCACAACTTGGAGAAATAAACTCAGTGACCTTCAAATAAACAACGTCTCAATGTGGAATTGTTTTTGTTTGTGAGACACAATATTTGAGCCAAGCACTCTGGGATTGGAAGGCAGGTCCCTTAACCACAAGAGCTAAGTTCCACTTATACCATCAATATTCACTACAATTCTTATGCGTCATAATTGCATTCACAGACTTAAATGTCAACAACAATACACCATGTTTACAGATGATTACTGTATTATGAAATGTGCAGCTAGTTTGGGAACATGAAATATTTGGCCCTAATAAACGTGCTATGTGAATTACACCAAATTTATTAAACGATGCTTCTTTCGTTTTCATCAACACAAGCACATTGTACGCAATTCCATCAAGAGATTGACATGCATAATATTGCTTGCAGACTTGAATCAATTTCGTAGGCCCCCTGCCTGTAAGAATGCTCCAAATAGGATTTCATAAATGCACGCCTCTGATTCATACCACTAACCTAAATACCAGAGAAATTAAATGGAATGAGTAAGGATTGCTGCTACCAGGCCCTGAAGCGCTCAACATTAACAAGCATTGGATGAGTCAGTTGGACAGTGCTTGACAATCCTAGGCTTCTAGTTATTAAAAAAAATAATATCTAATCAAAATAATAAGTGCACTTACTGATGGACTACATTTAGTTTCTATTTATTCGTATTGCTGTTATTGTTTTAGAAATCTTAACAAGCTGTGTACTATTAAAGCAACCAACATTAATGCCAAATAAAGAATGTGTTTTCATTTGGATATAAACAGTATTTTTCATTTGGATTTTTTGAAAATGCGAAAGCTCTTTTTTCTTTCTTTACCATACACATAGTAACATACATCGCCACCACCTCAATCGGGACAGGCCAAAACCTTCCCCATCCCTTTCTCCTCTCCCCAATTTTCCCTGATTCTTCAGATTAAAAAAAAGGAGAGTTTTGGGCATAATATGTGCAAAAAAGTTCTTAAAATGTCCAAAAATTTCCGAGTTCTTGTAGGTGCCATGGGCCCCCCTCAGTACACACGAGTACTTCACACCTAGATTCTGTTAATGTCAGTCGAATATAGTCAGACCCTTGCAGGGTAATCCTGGGTCTCTAGACTTTCATTATGGCGATTATGTTACTGTTGTGGTCAAATTTTTGAATAAAATATATATGAAATGACTGACAATTATATAACAAACATAAAAATTGAACATACTATTAATCATATTAATGAAAACTAAAATAATAGCAGTGAACACCAATGAAAATATTTTGCTACAAAATATGAAAGGCAATGACCAAGAAACACAAGAATTCAACAATAAAAAAAAACACACAGACGTGACAATCCCTTTGTGGTAGGCCACCACCCTTAATTTCCATGGATGGAATTTGAAAGAAAAATATCGGCCTCCACAACCACTTCTTAGCTTAGATTAGCAGATAAGCATGCAAATGTTACTAATAATGAATTGGTAATAATTCCTCCAGCTGTTTCTGCAAATAAAATCACCTTTCTACCACCCGACAGGTTTTAAAAATCACTGTTCTATACCAGGTAGTTGGCTGACTAAATTCTACATACAAGTGAGCCTTAGGTGCCCTAAGGCAGGGTCACTGACCTCGTAGAGTTGAATGCCCCGAGTACAAATACCAAGCCAAATCGATGGAGTCTCTTCAGTCTTCACCTGCAATGAGGGTTAGATTTCATAGGTATGTATTTTTTTTATACTCATTTTATTATTACAAAAATAAATATAAAATTTTAAAATTGTAGATATGGAAATTACTTTATAATTATAAGCATTTTCAAAAATATAATTCTCATATAACAGTACAGAATATATTAGAAAAGCTTTACTGTTGAATAGAATAATTGTTAAAATATAATTTACATCATATACAGTGCATCATTCCAATACGACCTCTATGTACTTCACATATGCATAGTATACATAGTGGGATTTATATATGTTCTCGCTAACTGATACGAAAAGGAAAGGAAGAAGATAAAAACTAACTCTTGAATCGAAAACCTGAGAAACAGATAAAAGCAGAACTAAGATTACCCCAATCATTTGATACAAATCTCTGGGAAGAAAAATGTTGCAGCTGGCAAGGCGAATGGCCGAGCAGTTAAGGCAGAGACACAGCAATGTACATCTATAATGATAATGTCGGCAGTAAAAAGCGCTATATAAATCCAACTACATACACAACATTGCTTTGGCAATCAAATCTACCAGGTACCAATTTTTTCTACTGGGTGGAGAGAGGCAAGCCGTACAGTAGGTCATACTGCCTTGCTAAAAGACACAAGAGATATACACCAAGATATTCTACTTAGCCTATCAAAATTTAAGTCCAGTTTCAATTTAGTCTCTGGCTGCCTACATGTTGTTTGTCTCCCTACCCAAGAATATGAGTACTTTGTATTTAAGTTCAAATGAAAGATGCTTATTACCAGCTGCAACAGTATGGTCATGTTTTTCACAAACCCCGCTTCCCCTGACCAAAACCAACCTACACCCCTGTAACAGTATGTAATACAGTAGTTACTCTCTCTCTTGGTCACTTGTTCTAATGACCGTTGTAACAATATTAATGACCTTTATAAAGGCCTTGATCATTTTAAACTATACAGGACCCACATATTATGTGGGAGTTTAGTTGTTCTTAGTCGCAAGTGAAACAATTATATAAATTTAAAGTAAAACAAATTTAACATTTTTTAAAATTACCTTTTTTAGCCGATATAGGTGCATTGTATGCTCTATTGTTGTAGACGCTTCTCGAATGAAGGCTTTCTGCGCGTATACTTTGGTCGTCCCCCGTTGATCACGATGCATCATGGGAACATGTTTCAAAATGTAAGACTGCCCTCGCCTTCTAATTACCTGATAAAATGATGTAACAAGTTGTATTATGTTGTACATCATTGATTGGTAGTATTGTTCAGTTAACTACCTGTTGTTCGCTTGTACTCTTTAAAATATTTAGAAAATACTTCATTTAAAATTTAGAGAGCTCCATTAAAATTTCTCTTTTGTGCATAACCTGTTTTCAGATGTTGTTTGTTATTTGTTAATATTTGTCTACACCTTTGTGCCATGTTACCGAAGTATGTACTTCAAGAACAAAATGAATGATGTTATTATGATGGTATTCTAGCCACAAAAAAAAATGTATAAATTTAAAAACTTACCCATTCTGGAAAATATTTGTATGGATCAAAGTAATGAGCCTTGTGGAGTTCATCTGAGTAATTGCCCAGGTCAGCCTGTAGTGCATAAGATGCAAGAACAAAGCAGGCTTCTTCGCGGAACAGTACAGGTGCTGATAAAATATTCTGCTTTAACTGCAGGTAGTAATGGTGACGCGTTGCATCATCCCTAAAATTCAAAGAAGTGAACATTAGTGAGTTTCGAAATATGAACCATGTATTCAATAATACTAAAATGAAGTGAAATACATTATATGATGTAAGCACACAGTCTTTTCGAGAAGTTTAAGCTGTTGGTCCTATGTACAACCAAACATGGCCTATCTGTGCATGATAAAAAGGACATAGTACAGTTAAACTTGCCTAAAGTTGAATAATTTCAAAGTTGATCTTATTTTACATGCCTAATTGTTGTGTTTTCCATTAATTAACAATCTGTAAGTCAAATTTTATCTATTAGACGAACAATATTTCAATGGAATTTTAGACTTGACTTACTGTAGGCATGTCCAACTGTACATTCTTCAAATAAGGGAATTGTCTCTTGGTACTCTAATTAATTACCACCAGGGCTGGTGCTGCATTGCAGCTGCCATACAGTAGATCCCAGACTCCCATGGGAACAGGCCAAATTGCCTATTTACTCAACTAGAACTGAATTGAATAACTTCCACACTGTGTGATTGTAGAGTTATTTCAATAATAACATAAGAAAAGTTTAGGCTTGCTTGCAACATGACAATGGAACCTCAAACTGGGGAAGAGCTGCGATGAAATAAAGAGATACTGTACTATATATAGATACCCTTATATATAATGCCTCATTGGTTATTTATTTAACAATTACAATAACAGGGGTTCTACAGTGTAGAATGTTTATGCAATCACGTTGCTGCATTAAATGCTTGATTAGGTTTTAAAGATAGCAAGAACAGCATGCTGCGAGTTAGCAGCATGTTTTATCAATCACTGACAGTTTTCAATCAGATTCCATCCCTGCAACAGTTCTAGGAGTTTTCAAATGGTGGGGGGATGATGGGGAGGGGGCCACGAAGGTGCAGTGGGGGACTGGACGATCAAGCGAGGGGGAACTTGGTCGTGAAATAAGGTGATATGAGGTGAACTACTTGAGTATGGCTTTTTTGCTTGTGACATTTTCAGAAAGACTGGGAGGGCGAGCTTTTTTTGGTAGAATATACACCCCTAGATATATCACTGCACTTAAATTCCATTATTTACATGCTGTAACCAGGATTTCTTAAGGGAGAGGAAGAATAGTTTTACTGTACATATTAGGGTAGCTGTTACAAAGAGATCTGATGTGAACAATTTAATAATAACATAGCTTGAAATACTTTATTTTTATTCCGTATTGACCATTCAATTCTGTATTAACTAATGAACAAAAATGCAGGTATACTTTATTTACATTTGAACCCAGGCCCTCAAGAAAAGTAGGTGAGCACCGCCAAGCCACAGGCCACTCTATGGATGCAATAAACCTTTCTGCTACAACCCACCCATTGGATATTGTAGCTAAGGTCTTACAAAACAATAACGTTAAAATGTACATAAACATGTGCATTTGTGGGAAAACTTGCATGTTTACTGGACATGCGCGTATTCCTGACACCGTTCTGATTGGTTCATTGCTAGAGTAAGTTGATTGCCACTCCGAAAAGATCCATTATATTATGGACCTGTTGTACAATTATATCTTATTTCATCCACGCCGCACAGTGACCAAAATCACTATTTACATGCTTTACTGTTTTATCTGTTCTTTATAAAGAACACTTTTTATTGCATGGCACTGTATTCCGTGGTGGCTCTAGTGAATTTTGGCTGGAGAATGGGGAAGTTGTCAGAAAAGTGGTAACAAATTTCCAAAGAGGTCAAACAGGTTCTAGGGAGAAATTGAAAAACACAGAGCTATTTAAAAGTGTTCCAGATTTTCAAGAAATGTTAGGGGACAGAGAGGATTGGCCTTTCAAATGGGGTTTAATCTCTCTTCCACTACCAGTTATGGCATTTAATTTTCAAGGAGAAAATAAATGATATATGATATGATACCACCTTGGTTTTGGCCTAATAAAATGAGGCATTTTTTCAGGCAAAAATATACTACCAGAAAGCATTTCACTGGCAACCATGCATGGAATTTGATATTGCCAGGAATCTGGTATTCACAGGGGAGCACTTTGACCTAGAACAACCCCTGTTTAAGCAGGTAGTTGAGAGGATTTTATGTGTCAAGGGCTCTGTTATAAATGGTCACTAAACTGGGCTAATAGCAAGCCCATATCCTGAAGACCCACGTGCAAGTCGAGTGAATGATTGCAACATATGAACTGAGGCAAGGCGTTGGGTGTTGCTAAAATGCACACAAAATTAAAAGTTTGCAAAAGTAGTTGACAAGATTACAAATTATTTATCTGTATACTATTTAGATATATGCACTTGAACAACTTCAAAATTTATTTCTTTTTAAGCAGGAAGTTGTTCCACATTGAGGACTTCATAGTTTCTTGCTATTGCTACTATATAAAGTATTACTCTCATTTAAATAAAGTATAATAATTAATACAATTTTAAATAATAAAATAAAAATGATTCAGATTTAAAAAAAAATGCTAAACCTACTTTAACAGTGACACATGCTCTACATACAATTGCACACGAAACCACACTTGAAGAATCGGCTTCCCAGACTTGTCCAGACCCTAAAAAAAAAATTGTGTTAGCGGCAAAAAAGTTAAATGGAAAGTTTTTTTTTATTATTCAATATTTAACACAGAGGCTCCTCACAAGTCACAATAAAAAAAAATAACAATTAGTCTATATTTTCTTACTTAATGTTATAGAAAAAGGAAATAAGTAAAGTTTATGGAAAATCTATTTCATACATGTATATGTTCTTATACATTATACATTTAAAAAAAAAAATTTAAATAGGAAAAAAAATAGTAAAAAGATCCAAAAATAAAAAACATTACATAAAAATTTAAAAAAAAATTATATTAAATATGAGTCTTTGGCTAAAACATGTGTAACAAGTGTGTCAACGTTTGTGAGAAGTTCTTTTCTTTGCGTTTGAATTATATGGGAAGTTAACGATTAAAAAAAACCCAAATACTATGTTTCAAAAATTGTAATCTCATTTACGATAGGGTTTTACTAAAGCTCCACACAAAATTAGATTGGAAAAACTATTAGACTAGAAATTGCAAATTGCAAGTGAGGTGCTGCGAAGTAAAACTGCATAAAATGTTCTTCGAACAAAATTATTTATGCGAGTCAAGTGAAAATAATGAATAATAAAAATATAACAAATAATACGAGACACGGCCCATTGTCTATATATAGAACAGCGTTGGTACCGTGTACAATAGTGTTTTGCTGCAGTGACATCTCGCTGCTGGCGACTCGCTGCTGCTGGCGATGACTCGCTACTGGCGAATCGATCTGCGCATGTGTCTAAAATGGTATTTATTTCCGAAAACAGTATGCCAGTCTACAACAAGCGTCGCCTAAATGTAATAATTAGCACGTTGAAATAGGCTAGTAAATAAG